GGTTTTTAGATTTTGCTCTAATTAGTGTATTGAGCACTACATTTTTTATAATTTACTTAGTCTATTTATTTATATATATATATATATATATATATATATATATATATATATGTGTGTGTGTGTGTGTGAAAGCATTAAATTAACGTGTGTGTTGTGTTTTGTATATATATATATATATATATATACACACACACACACACATATATATATATATATATATATATATATTTATTTATTTCTAATCCTACATTTTTATTACTTCAAACTTTATTAGAGTGGATAATTAGTATTTGAAAAAGACATCGCATTTTTGTTTATTAAACAATATTATTAAGGTTATAGACCTGTGTATATTAAAGAGAAATGCATTTTCTTTACTAAGATACCCCTGCAGTGGGGTAACCCCACCCCACTAATGAGGCCACCTGTTTATATGTGTGGCTACCCATGATGCCTGAGGATAGGCTCCTAGTGGTTGAAGGCTTCAGGAAGGAGTTGTGTAAATTCCTAAACCCCAACACAATAGTTTAGCCCTTACTTGAGCTAGACGGAATCAAATAGGCTTGATCTGATCAAACAGCTGGTCATGATAAGCCCTTATTTTGCAAAAACCTGAATCAGGAGGCAGTGACTGTAGAATCAATAATACTGAAGAGAGACTGACAATTTCTAACAATCCCTAGCTGAAAAAGTATCATGAGAATGAAAACCTTGGGATTCAAAATAGCTGGTTACTTTCTCCAGTGTAAGTATACTGGTTGTGTGGCCCTGATGTGTTTCACCCTTGGCATTTCCTCTTGTAGGTGCTCAGGGGTGCAAGTGGTTCATTAGTATAAGTATTTATATAAATACTTGTACTAATGAACAGCATATAGTTTTGTACCACTTGCCCCCCTGAAGATGATCTTGAGAGATCGAAAGTACTTGGTAAATGAAAATAAAAGAAATTTAAACAGCTATGGTATATGTCTCTCATCCTTTAACATCAATACACAGAAGATTATTCATGAGTATGAACGGATTTTATTAAAAATTAGCAGACATAATGTCTGTAATTTATTCAATCAGACATGCCTAAAATAGAATTTTCTGCTAAATACACAAATTTTAACATATATATATATATATATATATATATATATATATACTAACCTTTAATACTCCTGTACCACTAACTGAAATAAAAATTGGTTATTTAATGGGCAATGTGGATAAATAAATTCCAAATCCAAGAAGGTGCCATAACTCTCACAAGTATGATCATTTAAAGGAGTACTATATAAGAAAACCAATATGCATAAGATGTGGGAAAAAAAATGAGCGAAACCATACATTTCTGAGATGAGGTACTGTAAATATTTTAATTATTTATATGACCCAGTAAATAAAAGAGTTGGTTAGATGCCGTGACATGACCCAAAGAGTTGTGAGTTCAATACCTGGCTACTGCAGTGGTGAACAAAAACTTGGAGAGATAAACTGAGACATCAAGAAGAGGCATGGCATGTAGAACAAGAACAATTTACCCCAGTGGACGAAATTAAAGAGTTCAATTCGAAATTCCAGTCACCTGAAGAAGGCCAGAGCATACAACGCTTGAAACATTGTGAATATAGCAACAGAGATGACAACTACAGTCCAAACAATGTATATAATGTAAACAGAACCAAACCTTGTTTAGCATGTATAAACAAACCAAAAGTGAAATGGAGATTATAGACCAAATGCAAAAGAATGGAAGACCAGTGAAAAAGAAAAACAAATAAGAACAAATATCACTCAGGACATTACATTCCCAGAGGCTAGGAAACTTATAGAAAACCCTCTTTCGCAATACAAGATTATGCAGAAATCATTAAAACTCTGAAAATATAAATGGAAATCAAGAAAATAACTTGGCAAAAAACAAAACAGAAAAACAATTAACATTAAATTAAATGAATTTTAAAACCTCATTCAAGCCTTAAAAACCAGAATAACAAATATAGAAATATCTCCCTTTACCAAATTAAACAATATCCCAATAATTAAAGAAAAGGGGAAAAAATGAAATACAAACCAGTAAGGACGAATTTAGATCTACAAGAACAAGAGAAGAAAACAAAAATTGAAAGCTAACTCAAAATAACCAGAGACGAAGGAAAATTTTGAAAAACTCAAACAAATGAAAACCAAAATGGATACTACACTCTTAATACAGCATAAAGCAGATAATATAATATGACAAACAAAACAAGAATCTTAAAATGGAATTTTTAAAGACACAATAACACCATGTGAAAGTGACTCCCAGTACAACAGAAACATCACTAACTTGTCTGTCTCCAATCATTCATGCTCGATGGCTTCATACGAGGATCCCCTGTTATTACATTCTTTTTTGACCTTCAAAAAGTATTTGACCCTACTTAGAAATCTTGTATCCTAAAATACATATACAAGATAGGGTTAAAAGATACATTAACTACATCTATAAAAAAAAAAACCTTTTTGCCAAATT